TGATGCTCTGGGTCAGGTTAGGAGATGTAGGTGGGGAATTAATCAAAGGGATCACGCTGTGCTTCTCCCTTTGTTTTGCATCTTTAGAAATTTTTTTAACAGTTACATATGTGTTTTCTGCTTCATAAGGTTGTAAGACAAGAAAAAAAAAGTTGTTTCCGGAATGTCTAACAATGTCTTTATAGAAATACTTTCATTCCAGAGTACTGGAATATTGCCATTTCTTAAAACTTTTCCATTTACCTGCTGTTAAAGTAACAGTATTTACTTTTAAGTTTTATTCAGATCAATGTAAAGAAGATAATTTTGAATAAATCAGCCTACCCAGGGAGGCAAACTGTGTTTTTTTTGTGCTCCATGGAAGTATCTTCAGATGCATGTCAGCTCTTTAGAAAACTCTTATAGTTGAAAAGATCTGTAACTGCTTATATATAGTTGTAGGGCTGTGCTATTATGACTGAAACTGTGAAAGACAACTGTATGGTATTTGTGATATTTAGGAAAATATATCCTCATTATCAAAATACATTCCATTTGAGCAGTGTAGCTCATGACAGGGTTAGAAGTAGTATTTCTTAAGCCAGTGCCTGTCATAATTCTCTCTCAGCATTAACAAGAGACATGCTGGTATAAAAGATCAACACTTCCTTTCTCAGAAAGTAGTTCATAGTCCTACTCTGGTGAGACCCTGGTTTGTTGAGTCTTCTAAAGACCAACTGCATAAGAAGCGCACGAAAGCCAGCTGCTTTCTTGTTCTGCTGTGGGATGATGGAATTTTGAAACATTCAGGACTTAATTTTTTTTTATGCTTTTTCTGTATGCTTAAATTTAAAAAAAGGAATAATGCAAGTAAAAACACTTGAAGCTGACAGGATGATGTTTGAGAATATATATATTTGTTTTGTGAATAACATGTGATTTGGTATTATTAACAGCAGGAACTTTTTTGGTGTTTGAATACTCCACTCAAGTGCAGCAGTAGCTATTAGCTAGTTAACTTACTTTAAACATCCTCAGTATAATACTGTCCTCCTAGAATTAATTTTCTGCTCAACCTTTCTCCATTTTTAGGCATACATAAGCTGTGAATGATGCAAAGTTTAGCATAGAATCCAATAAAGCAAATGCCACATAGTAGTGAAACAGCTAAGGCATCTTTATAAATAGGGAACATCTAAGATAGGGTAACATGAGCAATTTAGGGTGCAGTTCACTCTGCTGTTTGACTTGATTGATCCCTGGATGCTTGTACAATGTAATCAGGAGCTTGCCTCTGCAGTTGACTACAGACAGTTACCATAGGTCAGGTGGTGTGAGGTAATGTTGTCTGTTAAAACTCTCCTTCAGGTGGGTGCTGACATGAAACTGTTTAGGAATATCATTCCACTTCAGGCTTGCACCTGATTATAACTTTCAAGCACAGGCAAATCCCTTTATATTCATCATAGAGTGCTTCTGTACACAACAGTTGTGGAGCTGAAGGGTAAAACATGCAAGACAGGTTCTCC